CAACTTCCACGCAGAATATGCAAAACCGAAGAGGCCGCTGCCTCACTCCAGATGGATGGGTCCCAGTCCCACTGGGTTACTGAAAACAAGCTGCAGATGAATCACAGATCTGGTCCTCACTTTTGTTGGACCTGAGACTAGTGTCGATGGTTGGACCTGAACCGAATATACTGTCATCGCCACGCTCTCAATGAACTCTATACATCAAGTTTTACTTGTTCTTTTCTTCTATTTCTTTCTATATTGACTTGAAGTAATTTTTACCTGCATAAGTATTTGATAAAAATAAAAAAAAAAAAAAAAAAAAAAAAAAAATCCTTCCTATGCCTTACTGGATAACATAAGAAAGGGTTATCTACCATGGTAGAATCACGTGGAGCCCAGACGAGGCCCTCCGCAATTCTGATCCATTCCGTCTTCTACAGATCGGCACATACGTGAACGTCGACGATGGAAACCATGGACTCAGATTGTTCTGCTGTCGTTCTTCCGCAGGCCATTAAAGACATCGACATCACGGCACTGTTCATTCCACAATAAGACATGATGTAATATTAAAAACTTTGTATAAAAGATAAAATTAAAATAAATTAATAAATTAATAAATAAAGTAAAAGAGAGGGAGAGGTTGTAGTATAATGCTAGGAGTTGACACCCTGGGTGACCCCCACCACATCCATCCCACACTTCTTAATTTGCGTCAATGTCACGAAACAATGCCCCCCCACCCCACCCAGTTGTTGTTGTTTTATCTTTACTAACTTACTGTCACGAAATAACGGCACTCGGGTCCTCCTGGATCGTGTGTCAGGTCAGACGCTCACCTCGTGGACTGGACTCGTGGACGAAGTCGATCGGGTCGTGGGACTGTGATCCAGTCCATCCGGCGGCACTCATGCTTCAGCCTGTCCATCAACTCAACTCGCGATTGCTCCACGACTGCGTCGAGTCCTTCATAACTGGCTAGTGTGAGTGTGTGTGTGTGCGTTCGCGTTTCGGCGCATTGCAGGCACAAAAGGGCTCATATAGATAGATTATCTAGCAGCGATTCGAAGGGTCCAAAGGTGCTTCTTTAAGAATCTAGATAGATCAATATATATATATATATATATATATATATATATATTGACATATATTTGCAGCGCCGAAGCGCCTGATTTCAATGAAACGATGGCATGAAATCGACGCCAGATTCCGGGTGCTCCATCGACGTCTCCATTTGCGTTGAAGTTTGATTTTGTTTATTTTTTGATTTTTGTTTGATTTTGTTTGATTTTTTAAATCATCCAACATTCGTTGGGATGTCATCAGCTTTTCATCCTTCAGGATAAAGGAGGGGCTTGTTTGCTTTGCGTTGAATTGCTTTGCTTGAGTGTGTAAACCCCAGACTTGCCTTTCTTTATTCATCATCTCCTTGTCATAGTTTCTTCCTTTATCAATTAATATGATCTTGAATTTTTAGTGTTTTCTTTTAATGTTATTTTGATAAATGGAATCTACTTCATTGTGGTTGTTTGTGTTGCTTTTAAATATGTGCTTATTGTGTATGTATAACTATATTTGTATGCATATGCATGTGTAGTTTTAGTGGTTTTTTCTATTTTTACACTTTGTAATTTTTTTATAGCAAAAAAGACAATATTGAAAAAGGGTTTACAATAAAAAGGTTCTTTGTTGCTAAGTTTTAAAATTTTGTTGACAAAGTTGTTATATTACTATTTATTTTGAACTTTTTGATTATATAATCATAAAATATGTATTAAATAGAATTTTTATAATAAATAAAAAATATATATATATTATAAAATTATTATCTATTATATTTTCTAGTAATTTAAAGATTGGTACATTCATCTATTATTGTATCTTTAGATTGTGGCATGCAAAATGTTATATAATTTTGTTTACGTTACTTTATACTTTAAGATTTTATAATAATACAAAAGATTCTATTTATCAGTATTAATCAAAAATATTTCCAATATTTTTGCACATGACAGTAAATATGTGGCATAGTAAGTCCATGCACTTGTTATTCAAAATTTCTAAGATAATTTATGAATATTATACATATATTTCTTAGAACCTAAAGATGGATCTTTAAGTATTACTAAGAATGTAGAACACACACTCACTCCATTTGTATTGCACAATTATTTCAAATTGAACTTTCTAAGATTTAATGTATTGGATATGAATGTTACATACTCACATCACTGGTACAATATAATCATATAAAATTTATTTCATTGTGAATTTTGAATTATCAAATTCAAAATACTGATTCTAGTTATAAAATCTCAACCTTGTGTGATGGACCCCTTTGGACAAGGTTTATCCCTATTGTGTTAAAAATATATAATTAAGAATTCTTATACCTTAATATTAAAGTTTAAATATAATTGATATAGTATAAACATAATTACATTATAAGACATTAATTTCTAACTTAAAATATATTTTTTAGTTTATGATTTAATTTGACATCAAATTATTATTATATTACATATATATACATATATTAAAAAAACAAAAAAAATCTTGAAAACAATTATTTTAACACATTATGTCTTACATAATTTTAACCCGAGCTCACCCGCGACGAACGTCGTTCATCCGTTTTCATTGGAGGGGTCAGAAACGGCGACGGCGGCGTGGCTTCACCGACACCTCGAAGGGATTTCGCAGCCCGCCCATTCTTCGATGAAGAGATAGTTCACGATCGTTGTGTGTGTGTGTGTGTATGCTGTTCGAGCTTTCCCAGCGGTGGAAATCTTCATTGTCACGATCTCGCTGAAATTGTCATCGGGATTGCCAGGACCAGTTAAAATTCAACCCGCACAGCTTCACTTACACAGCTCAATGTGTGACTGTTACTTTATCCCAGAGTCATATTTCATCGCTGAAAGAGTAATCTCGGAGATGCATGCAATGCATGCAGGCATTGACAGGAAGAGCGGCGAGAAATCCGCATCCTGGCATTGTTTTTTCAAGTCGGTTGATCATTCAACGTTCAGAAGCGCAGTTTGAGATATTGTTTTGGTCGCGTTTCCCCAGTGCTTATTCCACAGTGTGTGTGTGTGTGTTGCGATCCTGGTGTTTTTGGAGCCGTTGGGATTCACTGTCGGATTTGAGAAGAGGAGGAATGGTGAGGTTTTAGAGTGGACTCTGCTCAACCCCTTGGGCAAACTCGAGATCCAGTGCACAAGTTTCAGCAGAACGCACAGTAACTTGCTCATGGTAGACTGAAGACGTTATTGAGAGGATCGTGGCTTGGATCGAGTGTAGATCGCGTACCCTGCCTTTCCTTCCTATTAAACTTTGTGACCGTCGCATTGGATTCAAGCTGTATTACACTATGCCGTAGTTGCATGGCATGTTTCTGAGGATTGATGAAGGAACTGGTTTATTCCTTGAGTTTGCGCAAGCTGTCCGACGAGAACGCTATCACAGTTGTGAATTTCAGCTCCCCCCCCGAACCAGAGAATGCTGCAATAGTCAGAAATAATGCGTGCTCTCTAGGAGTCATCCAGAGAAACTAAAATTCAAAAACCAAGGTGCATAGGGAAGTAGTTCATTTGTGATGCCAGTCCATGGGAAAGGATTTTGCAACATAGTGGACATGAAAAAAACGTCCGTCTGCACGGTGCTGAATGATTGGAGTGAAAGTTGATCCCCCGTCCTTCTTATCACACTGACCCCTGGTTTCTCGATGTGTGTTGTTTTCTCTAATATTGTTCACTTTCCTTCAATTTGTGTCCAGAACATGATTCCCATATTACTTTTCCCTTTTCTTCTTGCTTTTCAGGGATGATGTTTTAATACTCGAAAGGGTTCACGAACTCATGCAAATTGAGCATGTGCGTATTCACCACAGGCTTATTCAAGTTATGGTGCGGTGCGACAAGCACACGGTGTAGAACGTTTCCTCGTCCGACCTCCTGCCGCTGATTACAGCGCTTTAAAACATCGTATGCACAATGTCGGTTGCGCTGATTTTTCAGCATCTGATTCAAGTACTCCGTAATATGGACAACTCCACAAAATGTAGGATATGCAACTTCAGCTCAGGAAATCCAGAGACCAACTTTCCCGCTGCAGGCTCCGCACTAGCTCTTCAAGCAATGAGAAGCTCCCAAATTTTTTCCCAATTGTTTTTTAAATAAATTGAGCTTGATTGATCTAAAAGTAAAAATTAATAATAGCTTTGAATCGCCGTAGTTGGGAGACGGATAATATTCAGGTCGTGTCCGGGAAATCAGGCTTTTGCAGCCGAAGGAGAGGGTTGCCCAGTCTGGGCCACAATTTTTTGAAAATTATTTTATGAAGGATCAATTTGATGACGAATTGGGATTGTAAGTTGGGAAAATCAAAATTGATTAGAGCGGTGTTTGTCAACTTGGATTCTTCCATTGATATTTCTTCTTGTGCTGAACGCAGCATTTTTCTCTCAAAATGATTTGGTGATTTTCTTGTCTGTTGAACCTCAATAACTCTGACTCGTCACGCTTGAGGAGATTCACCCTAGAACGAGGTTCGACTTCGAACGCCTTGACAGTCAAAGGGATATAGGCGTGAACGTACAAAACGACGCACTAAGTCCTGTAACGGTCATTTTTTCAACTAAACGGGGGAACACCCCTCACTTCAACTGAATACCCCAACTGAATGAACCTTGATTTGCGACAGATGCTACTGTCGTTACTGCTGACTTTACTGCACTGTACTAGATCATTGGCACACAATGAGCAGTAAGCTTTCACCCCACAGCATATTAGGTTTCACTCATCACTTGGTTGATCATAGAATGCACAGGGTGGAGTAGATAATGCTTGCTGCTACAGAGGAACAAAGGCATCAACCAATACAAAGACTCTAGTTAATCCAACTCATTTTTGTAACGGTACCTGCGATATCCAACATCCCACCGGAGAATTTACCACAGGCTTTCCCCAAAATCCAAACGAAACGTGAACGCGCTCCACAATAATCATAACATGTCTATTCCAACTCTCGAGTTTCGATTCAGAAGCAAAAGAGAACAGCAGTGGCTGAACTCAGAGAAGAGAGCTGGAGTGGACAATGCAGGCATTAGCAACATGAAACAAGAGCTTCACGGGCTATACACCAGTGGATTCAAAAATTAGGATCATACTATCGAACAGTATAAGGTCCTGGTGATGTAGGAGTAACAGCCCTCATAATGTCAGTACCTAAGTTGGACACCTTGTTGCCTTCACTACCTAAGCTCGCACTCTGTTGCAAAACGCTACTGCTACTGTCACTAACACCTTTGATGGGGATGGCTCCAACCCCTACCCTCTCTGAGCTCTCAGATGTAGACCCATTACAATCTTCGACTGAATAACAGTCTAAACCATTTTGAGTAGAGCCCCTCTCTGTAGCAAAAGAGCAACCCACGTCCAAGGACTTGGGAGGGCTCTCACCTCCATTTACACATTTCTCCCTCAAGAGGTCTTCTGGTCCATTCTTAGAAATGTTGTCCTCCACACATGCAGATGCCTTTTCCATCTCGACAGATGCAACTTCGGCAGGCCTATCATTCAACAACTGTGCTTCAGTAGCGACTAAGTCCACAATGTCACCGAGAGGTGCAGAGCCAGACTCTGAAGCAGCTGTCTCCGAATCTTGATGGGCATGCTGAACGTCCATGTCAGATATTACTTCAGGATTACCCCGACCAGTATGATCTGAGCTGGATGCCTGATTCATATCACCTGGCCCATGCTGGTCTACTGACGTTGCAATTGAATCCTCAGCTTTACACATCTTCGAAGTGATATCTTGCGCTGGAGGTATAGAGCCCAAAATACTTGATTTGGCCAACCCCGGAACCTCCGAACACGTTTCGACAGACTCGGCTCCACTAGAATCAACGAGACCAGAAAGATAAGGCTCGCTGTTGGAGCGGTCAGCTGCGTGACCATCCTCGGGCTTTTGCCTCTTGAATGAGGTCGTACCGGGTGGTTCCGAGTTTGGGGCAAGATAAACTTTTCGCTTAGATATACTTCCATCTTCTACTTCTTGCCAAATAGGGTCTGTAAGGAAGGTTGCTGGAGGTATACTCTCCGACTTCTTATCTAACACCCCACCTGAATCTTTGCGATTGATGCCCAATGCTGGAGGCAAGTCCTCGTCCTCATCTTCATAATCTACTAGACCAACGGTGGTTCTCCTGTGAAGTCAAAATCTCAGTTAACAGCAAACCAGAAACAAAACATGTGAAGGACTTGGATGTATCTCAAGCCAACATGGTGAACGAAGGGAACGGAACGACACAATAAGATGTTTACCTTGAGGGAACAGCACCTAAGGCACTGCCGTTTATCGTAACTGGTTGTTTTGAATGCAGCTGTGAGGGTGTACATACCCTTGCAGTTGCTGTATCCTCCTCATCGTCACTGTCCAGGTGTAATCAAACTTATGTAAGTCACATGACCAAGCTAAATCGACTCCAAAAAGGTGCGTCATATTCCGGTGACACATCCAGATCATGAAGATACCTGTCCTCATTGAAATACTCCTCCTCGTCTTTGTCCAATGCTCGCTCATCCTTTCGTCGACGGGTGTCAGGAAGACCTGCTTGGCTAAGCCTATCACATCCCATCCGTGAACCATGATTAGGGGTGCCACTTGTAATAGCACCTCCTGCGTCTCTTGTGCTGGGGGGACCTTCCAAAAGCTGCAGCACAAAGTACAAGACAGGTGGATCAAAATGCCTACAACAATACCCAAAATACCTGAAACAATGATTCTGACTCAATATTAGATTCAGGAGAGAGCAACCTGCTCCAGTGCATGAAGAAATAAAACTTGACAACCCCCGCGGCCCCGAGATTGATACTTACTTGATCATATTTCAATTTCAGCGCCCGAAACGTGTCCACATAGTCAATGGATTCTAATTTTGAAGAGTGCTTCTCAATTAGATAAACTATGAGAATTTTGATGCCCTCCTGCAAAAATTGCCATACAAATCCTTTATCAGTCTCATCGGCACAGTATCATACGTGTAAATATATTCTAGTTGGTGAATGTAGACAAAAATATATTGATCATTACGTTTTGACCAACAGCCTCTTCTTTATAACGTTAGACTAACTCCGAAGTATCAAGGGCATAAGGATCTCAACAATGTTTTTGGTGAATGAAATGTTCATATTAAGAGATATAACCACTGATTTGAATCCGTAATACATAAACGACAGGCATTTGCTTTGATTGCATACCACCCGAAAATCCTCAAAGCAATTAGTTTTACTAGTTTAAGTTTATGGAACAGAAATAAATTTTCTTCCCAAGGGCCTAGCAAAAATAGAATCACATTAAGAAAAGTTTCACTTCGTACGCAGGATAGAATGACAGCAGCAGTAGACCAATACCAAAAACTACAAAAAAAACTAACTGCTCGTACTGAGATTAGCGGAGGAAAAAGATAACATACTTTTCGAATGAAATCAATAAGCTCCAATACAGCTGAATTAAGGAGATTATAGCGGTTTCCATTAGCCACAAAAGCTCCAATAATAGGCTCAAACAGATTATGCTTCACTATGTACCGGAAGTAAAATTCATCCTGCACCGTTTCATACCATTACAACCCAGTCAGACAGCTGCCTTGAAATTTCTTGTCAAATATTCATCTCACAGATTTCAAGTGAGGACATCATTGCATCCTGTATACAACTACAGTTCCAAGGAAATACAACAAACACAACTTTATCCATGCAAACTTTGGAAGATATGTTTCAGTGAAGGTGCAAATTACGCAAGTAAACACGCATAATTCCAAAAAAACCAACCTTCAAAGAAACACATGTTCTTAAAAATCGCACAGCAGCCACAACAAGATACTTCTCCTTCCTGCGAACCAGCTTCAATATTTTTTCCACTACATGATGTTTCATTACATAATACCTAGTAGAGTACACAAAAAAAAACAAAGATCTCATCAGTACAACAATATGACTTGAAATGAATTAAGTTTGAACCGCTGCTAGGATAGACCCATCAACTGATTTAAGTACACAAGGATGTCACAAATGAAAGTGCTGTGTTGAAAATGACAGCCTACCAACCAAGAGATTGAGCAGCAGAAGTTGATATTATTCACACAATTACGACTCACAGGACACGCTAATCCCAGGTGACACTGAACTTACTTGATTCTGAACCGGTGATGCTGGACACAAAAACACATCAGCTCGCAAATGTTTCCAAGAATCTCAGGGGAAACTATTCGCCTCGTCCTCTTTCCAGCATCGACAGAGTCATTAGCTGGCTCTAGGTTACCTGACTCTGATGGACAACCGTCCGTAAGAAGTTGAACCATTTGATCCATGTATTTATCATAAAATATCTCCAGAAAAAGGCTTCTGTCAACGGCTGGCTGTAACCCATAAATGGCACACATATGTAAGAAACTTGATTAATATCAGATACAAGTATGCCAATATACCATAGTCAACATACCTCATAAATGAAAGAATTAAGTTCAGCTGGACGTAGGAAATATTTACAACAAAAACCGAAATCCTTCATATTCGTGATCTACTCCAACCGCAAAATTGAACAGTATTCGCAGATTATAAGGTATTAAGATTAAAACCAACTTCTCAGATTAAAGAATACATACAAAAGAATCAAAGTGTTGAGAACTCACTAACTCCAACGTCTCTGAATCCAGGAGCATACGCATAATTTCCAGAAGTTGAGCTTGCAATCCACCTTCGCTAGGAGTTAACATACCTTCAACCTGGAAAGCTAACCACTTCATCAGTGCACCCAAATACTCCAATAATTAAGAAATAATATTCTCTTACTTCAATTTGAAAAACAGTCGATTTTCTTCAATGATAGACACATCCCACATATTATTCTCAAAAAACATGCAACTCTTATTACAAAACCCTCACTAAAAGGAGTGGAATTGCGCGAGACTATCTTGATACAAGTTTCAAGAGAGCTATGCCAGACCTTCTTTCGAACCACTTAAAGAGCGAAATTTGTAAATAAAACCGACGAGTTTGAAATTGTCTAATGAAATGAACGCATAAAGACAAACCACACACCAGTTCACTGAACAATGTGTAGGACGGTTGGTGCACCAAAAAACTCCGAAGTAATGTTGGGTCGTGGTTCATAATTACAATTAAGATATCACACCTGGCACAAGATCACCCAAACTCAAGCAAATCAATCCGCCTGCAACATTAAATATGACATGAAAGCTGACCAGTCTGCACGTATTCAAACAAACATGACTGATCAGAAAAATGTGGCAGATATGGCGCAAACGCTGGCACAACGACCCTATTAAAAGGCCAGACTTCAAGCAACAGTTCATTGGTTAAGGAGATAAATAAAACGTGCCACCACAAGTAGGATACTTACCCACTTAGTCGGACAGCCTCATCTGCGTCCTTAAGGATGTCTTTCACAATTTCGAACAATCCCTCTTTAGCAAGTGCACTATCGCAAAAAAAAAAAAAAAAAAAAAAAAAAAAAGAGTTTATGACATAAGATGAAATCGTTCACAGCAATATAAATAATCCCTTAAGAAAAAAGACAAAAAGGAAAAAGGAAAAAAACGAATTCTACAAAATGAACGGACAACTTATTTATGTAGAAAACTCTACCTGAACAACTGGCTTCGCACAAGAGGTTGAAGATGCTTGCTCAAGTTGCAAAACTCTTGAATAAAAAACACCTTCATCAACCACATTTGTAAATAAGAAAGAAGAAACCTATGAAAGATTGGTTACAAAATTTAAATATCAAGACATTATTAATGGATTCAAGAGCTTTTACAAGTCATACTCTTAATTAGAAAAAAAAAAAACTGACTAAGTCGAGATTAAGGTCATGTTCTCCAACAAAGAAACAAAAAATATCTACAATCACCTACATCCGGCATGTTTATGACTAACAACAATTAACTACTAACTTCTTTGATTGCTCGATGCTGGAGTAATAAGCTCAATTATTCCCTGATCTCCTATGAGAAATGAAACAACCAAAATCATTTAAAAAAGTACGAAATCTGGGCGCACAACCCATGATAGTTCTGCACAATATCTTAAGATTGCCAGTGGCTGCGAAACTCACCAAGTCCCGCCTTTGTCTCTCCGAGATTTCGGGCGAGCGAAGTTTTGAGAAAAGTTCCGACAGAAAAGCAGAGTCGTTGTGGAGTGCAGTCACCACCTGCATAAAGAAATGAAAAATTAGCACTTCCATTCATTTGAGCACGAAATAAAATTTATACGCGCGATATCAGAACCATTACGAGACAAAATAATTTGCAATGGCAGGAGATTGTCACTAGGACCTTCCTACATAGAAACTTACTGAAACATTGTTGAAGAGTATGATTGAGTTGAGTGTAGCAAAAGTAGGGTCATCCAGCCCTCTAGGTAATATAACATCCTGTATACAAAGTAACCATTTGAAGTTGGCAGTTAGCAGGACAATAAATAATCCGACACAAAATGATATACAAGTTGTGACAACAATCTGTCAAACATTGCATAAATGAAAATCACAGAATTTTGAAAGTTGAGAAACGATTTCGACCTTTATATAGCCGATCCGATACGTTTGGTGGATCTTCGACAAGATAACTGGATCCCGTATAGGAACCACCTGCTTTTCAAAATGGCATCCAATTGTAACTTGACTTTTTTCATTTGGAGCTGACAGACATACATCATGAACTAGAATACAAATGCTAATAAACCCAGAAAACCCACTAAACAGAATGATTATCACACTGCATTACATGAACAGCGCACATAAAAAGAAACTTGAGGAATACTATCGTCAGTTTAAAATAGACTCTAAAAACATATAACACTGGCAATATTATTCCAGCCCTGCGTACCTCCTTGAAAACAACCTGCTCCTTGAGAAAGGTGCGGTGACCTCGGGCTTTTGTCACATCAGAATCATCTGCACATAGACAAAGAGATACAGAACACTCAACAATGAAGGCATTTAACCAATACGAATAACATCAAAAGATGGTACGAAAGAAACCAAAGAGTCGTATCGATGAGCATCAAGCATCCACTTACAACTTAAATCAAGGAACAAAAAGGAAAAGCATATTGCCATAATACTAAATGAAATAACAATGGAGTTGGTGAAGAGAGTATTCTCACATTCCAAAGCTCCGATTATATCCATTATATAATCATCGCTGAATATGATATCAAAAATATGCCCATCATTTAGAGAGACTGCAGACAAGTATAACAGAATACAAAATGCTTTAAAACTTAGCCTCAACAAAGATTTGACACATTCCGCTAAATATATCACGCACAAGCCTGAAAACATTCTGGTCTCTCTATAATCCAAATCAGAATAAAATGCTCCCTCATTTACAGACTTGGCCATACCCTAAAAGTAGAAAGACCAAATCAGCCCAGGGACTGTCGACAAAAAAAATCCATATCCAGACACAACATAAGCTTTTTCCAAGAGTGTAATGACTTGAAAAACATGCGTACCGTACAAGGGTTAGTTACATAACCAACAGCCAACAAATCTCCAAAATAAATGTGATGAAAGTCATTCAAGAAGATTAAACATTCTGATGCGTTAAAGAGCGAATGAAACTCACTGATTCCTTTCACAATCTTGAAAATCAACCGCAGCCCTTCAAGATTCTCCAGGTCCTCACAAGTGTGAAATAGCTGTACAAGTTTGGGTATGTAATTTTGCTGGATACAAGGAAAGCGCAACCCACTTTAATAACTTTCCATGGTGGCAAGACTGATATCAAGGAAATAAAATAGCAACCGGCAAATCAGGTAGACTGAAGTATCACATGCAGATTACCACCCACATATATGGTATGAGACAAACTCGAAGGAACACATCCAACAAGAGGCACTAACAAAATAATCTAAGTGGGGAGATTTTTCTGCTTACATCGCGAACAATCATGGAGGCCACCCTATCACGATCAAAAGGCATAACTTCTGCAACAGTCTGCAATACGTCACAAAATAAGGACATGAACAGCAGTTCGGCAAGAACACACATGTACATGAAATATCACGCTCCTCAAGCAAGAAAAAGCATAACTTGAAGACTTTCTAATGTCTAATTCTTGACGCGTCTGTTGTAAGGAACGGCCTTAAACTTTCGTTTCAAATTGCAACGCACCATTATTAGGAGGTAAAATGATTACTGAGTGCAAATGCAGTTGCATTCTCAAGCCCAATTTATCAAATAACATGCTAGCAAATATGATAGAATGGCAGAGGAACAAACATATAAGTAACCATTCACATGAACACATGATGATGAAGCCCCGAGATGCTATAAGTTTAACAATCAAGTAGAGAAACAAACTATCAAAAGAAGCGCGAGAATGCAAGACTCTTCATTCTAGTTGGTAAAAAAACCTTGGCAATGAGAGGAAGAGTGGAAAGCTCCACGGGCGGAAGTTCCAGCACTTCACCACCTCCACCTTCACGGAACGCATCATCTGTGAAATATAACCGTATCAAGATAAGTTACGTCCAAAACTAACATATATCCTCTATCCATACAGGGCTTGTTATTGGTTGATGATTAGAGATCTAACATGCACGAAATATTCATTTCATTATACGCAACCCTGTTCATGAACGCTTCCGAGACAGCAACCACAACATAACAGAAGCTAACCAAAACATTCTTGCTTACCATCATCCTGCGAAGTACCCGAATGATCTAAATCGTCACCCGCTGTACGTGTACTCCCCTCCATGCCTTTAACATTAATAAAATCTTATATTTAGATTTGGATGATTGATGATATAAAACTATTCATGACAAACAATAAAAATACAAGCGTGAGAATACCACCTAACTACAACATGTGCCAATGTCTAAGGTGTATAAAATTCAGAAAGAGGAAGAAGATATTAATGACCATTTGGCTCGTGAGCTAATTCTAACAAAAAAACAGCGGATAAGACGAGGAACCATAGACATGAACTGCAATATTTTAAACAATGCAGGTAGCTCAACGCTTTTGACATGCTAATACCACAGAAAGAAGAGATGGAAATACCCTACACGCCTATTAAGGCAATGAATACTATTGCAGTCACAGCAAAATTACCTCCCACTGATGGAAAGTGAATTGAACGTTGCACACTGCATATTTGATCCCTGCGGTAATGACAACGCCTCCTGTGAAATCCCAAAAAGTGGTTTCTAGAGTAATCTAAGCACAGCCATCGACAGTATCAAGTTATGAAAAGGACAACTAGGACTTGAAAAGCCAGCAGAAATAAGCTGCCCAAGTCACAGTTTACATTAAAGGCAGCACTACCTTTCACTGGCTCACATCTGACGCTGTCAAGAGGAACCTCAAGGAATGTCGCCTCATACATACCAAATGTCCTCATAACCTGGACCAAGTAGTTCAAAGGTACGTATGACATGGTCCACTCCCCACAATAATTTCGCGGCTCCCGCTTTAGAGGATTATGAAAATAAAGTCGCAGATCTATCTTTAGATATGGGTGCTCACAGTAAAGGATTCTCGCCACACCAAGAGTGCCTTTCCTTCTATACGAATTATTTTTATCAATCAGATTCGTTTCAACTAAAATAGCACAAATAAACATTTCCTCTACACTCAAGAATGCAAGAAATAGGACATGACCAAAACACCACAGAAAGGTGATAGTATCCATGTAACACTGCTAACTTACCATATGAAGGAACAACCCATTGTCTCTTGAAAACTGAGAGCCAAATCTGTTGCCACTTCTGGATCCGTCCATGAGATGATAGTGTCTATAGAGATCAGAGGCAAGTAAGATCCAGTTCAGAAACTCAAAAGAAGCGAAACACAAAAATATACTAAACCATCTAGAACTTCTCGACTATCCACATAACAACTTATTAGGCAACAATCACAGCATTAGTAACCATGATCTGCAAAACTGAGCATATCTAGGCATAAAATGCATGACAATACCTTCTTGACGGCGGTATATATCATCTGCTGAAATCCGATGAACCAATAAGGTTTGATTGTCCTCCTCGTCAATGACCACTAAACCTACTGCATCCGAGCGCTGCATCAAGCAACAACCAACCTAACTACCATGAATCCAAATTAAATGAGAATACGATGCATTGAAGCTACACACCTCCGGCCAACTATGACAGTGGGCTCGAATAGGTGTAACCATGAATTAAATTGTAATTCCTCAATCACACTAAATGGAAACAACAAAGCTCATGTTACTACCACCATTAAGCTTAATGAATTGCCACTACCAGGCACTAGGCCCTCCAGGTCGTTCATATGTTCAGACATCCATCACACGCAACCGCAGCCTACTTTTCAGATCCTCTAGTTTGATTTGAAATCATGACTAATTTGAAGTGGTCTGTAATAAACCAAGAACGGAGGGAAAGCCCAGTCCAAAAAGATAGTAAGGTTTCTTTGAAACAACTTCTAAAAATGGCTTATATGAAAGGATAACGAAGCTACGAAGCTACGAAGCTCAAATACCACCGATTACTAGATTTTTGAGGCTCAACTCACGCTCAGCCAACAAATGTAACTCTCCGAAATAGCTAGGAAATAACCCCAAAAAGAAAGAACGAGAAAAGAGGAGGACAACGTTACTATTCAACTCAAGATCGGTTCGATACTGGGTGACCGAAGTGTGACAAATAGCTAATGAACATGTTAACGTTATTCCTAAAGCCTACAATCGAAAGCTGGATCCAATTTGAAGGATCACGAAAGAGATTAGCTCTTAACAACACTTCTCAGCACCGCAATTTCTAAGCTCGCATATAAAGAGGCTATGGAGCTCGCAGACACATCAGCTGCACGAAGAGTGTCTTCACTAGATCTCCTACCAAGGTTCATGCGCCACTAATGTTGGGTGCAGTAATCAAACATTTACTAGGAGTGTTGATTTACTAAATAGCAAGTACTAACTGGATGAAAATACTAAAGCCACCTGAGTTTCGGGACTCTGCCACCGTGCTAGAGAGTGGTTGTGACCAATTGCAATTCCATAACTTATTGGCTCACTGTCCTGCTCCCCCAATTATATCCACCAGTAAAAACCAAACGACCTGAGAATATAGATGGTATCTCCAACGACTAGAATCATTGGGAACCATCCTTAAACATTCCATGATTCATAGTGTAGGTTCCAGAAATTAGATCCTTTGCCGCTTACTGCTACTTATATTGAAATCGTGTAAGATTTGATTAGCAGAAGAAGCTGGTGGGAGGAAAAGTACCTCTAAATACTCAACAGACACGTGACCTGTTCCTTTGTCGTCCCATTTGCCCTCGTCATTGAGGCGATAAACCTTCACTCGCTGCGGAACAAACAGAGCAAGGTCAAAAATATAACATCGCCATAATCGTCAGATAAGTAAAAGACAGACGATAAGACACTACATTAAAATATGCATCCCTAACAGACGTTGTCCCAAGGTAAAACTCTAAAAATCAAACATCAAGCAAATCTTGCCGATTAGTAGTTCCGTCCCGATGTTCAAAATCAAGTCAAAATTGAATGTGCAATAATAATACATCATTCCTTGGTTAAAGTAAGATAAATATCTGCATCATAAAGGCCCCTTAACTTGTTTGTCAGAGGAAAATAGAATTGATCTTCAACGATTACAGTACATCCTACCCGTGAAAAGCACACCTCCCGTTGCAAAATACCTAGTTACTTTAGAGCGTCAACGATGAGCTATATATTTAGGCAAGGTATAAATTGGCCGGCAATTAGACCAACCCCCACTCGTTAAAAGGATGGTAATTGAATCCCGGAACAGCAAGTCAAAAGCTCCATGATAACAACCAAGATAATCCGCTTCTGTGCCCGGCGGGGTGACGAGACTTGTTTTCACAAAACCTATCTGAACGGCTCACTGCAACCTTACAATATAGATGAAAATTCTAAACCCATATGTAGCACACTAAGAGCCAGATGAGGAACAAAAATTTAAGATAGTACACCGGCTAATTAACTCTACTGTCCAGATTGTAAACTATGAACAACCATGTAGCACATGGAGTCAGTAAATACGTAATCGCTCTCCTGAACATGAATTTTATCTTAAGGTCAAGCTAGTGCAAAAGGCTCCAGAAGAATTCTAGAGTCGCAAAAGTTGAGGAACAGTATCTACTCTCTAATGTGAACACATTACCTGGAGATAGTTGAAATCCATGTGGTTCGGGCGCACCGCTAAGTCAGTCATGTAAGATGGCCTCGGCCTTATCTCCAGCTGTATTCTCTTCGAAAAACACTATTTTCCACCCAAGAAACCAAAAATGCAATTGAAAACTTGCGTGCTAAAAGCATACGATTCCTGGACTTGTCATATATATATGTATTTTCTTGTGGCACAATTCGAAGGAGGATTTACACTCATACAAGCTCTTTAACTGCTGAGCCGGTCGGAAACCTAAACTGTCTATTCAAAACTATAATCAATTGCATATAACCAATTGCCGCGATAACCAACACGGCACAAGTTTAACATGCTTCCAAGGAACTGCCATGATGACAGGGCTTCAACCACATTAGACGAAGAATCCAATCGAACAAATAATCGTTGATATTGACCATAACCTCATCTCACTCGAAATTGGGTGAAGTGGCCCCAAAAAGCCAACTCTCCATAAAAATTCTCGCTGGAAAATACTAAATTAGCACGTCACAATACTTGTCGTTTCGCTCAATATATTACAAATGAACCAGGAAGGTTCTAGGTCAGCTAATACCGATACAAAACTGACACGACGCCGTGCTCCGCCCTGGTAATCATGCGCCTCAGGAAAAACAGCATGCCTGTGCCTTCACTCAGATCATCCCAATAGATGTGAACACCGCCCGACTACCAATTCTATGAACGATTGCTCCCCACACGGCAATTAGAAGAAACTCTGGCAAAATCCTTTTCTACTTTTTTCTTCTTTTTTTACTTCTTTAAAAAAAAAAAAAAAAAAAAAAAAAAAAAAAAATCGGCAGACTTCAATAAACGTTATATACACCCCCGTCTAAGTATTCAACATCAATTCACAGCACAAAGCTCGAAATTCCGCGCGGTTGACGACATTGCCATTCCCCGTCAAAGCGCGCGCACAACCCCGCGCAATCCGAGCAGCTCCAGACTCCCCGATAGAATTCCTCCACAGATCCGACCAGACCTAGCAATCACGCTCGCACTCGAAACCACATCCAAGCTTCCACTACGACCAACAACAGGAAGCACGGCACCACGCACCACTGCCGCCTCTTCCCTGTCCAGCACCACCACCACCACCACCACCAGAACGATCATCCAAACCCTAGAAGCGCGAATTCCAGTCCGTTCGGGGTCAAAACGGCACCAAATCGTGCTGCATAAAGCGCGGTCAGCAGGGAGAAGTTCGCCGAGAGCAGCGGCAGGAGGAACGCGGGTATGGAGGCAGAGAAGAAGGGGTGACGATGTCAGAGAGAGAGAGAGAGGAAGAGGGGGAGGGGGCGCGGGGGGAGATGGCTGGCTATGGCTGATGGAGGGTGTGAACGAAAGAAAGAAAGGCAACTCACTCGGCAGAGCTGGGCCGAGCCCCTCACCTCACTCACACTTGAGTCATGGCCATGGCCTCGCCCTTTCCCTCCTTTTCCTCCCTTTCCCTCCTTTCCCTCCCTTCCCTCCCTCCCGCCACTGCCTACAAGGCCCACCTCCCGCCCCCGCCCTTTCTGACAGGGAAATCCCCTCCCCGGCCCGTTATTTATTGGACGCTTCTGATTGGCTACGATTCATGATATTTGGGTTATTAAAATCCAAAGGGGGGGGGGGACTTGCTGAGTAAACATTTTGCAACTGGGGCTGCTTTTTTGTATGTTTGGTCGTGGGAAACATTTACAGACATGAGGAATGCATGGGTGTGTGCATGTATGTAAAGATTAATGTTTTGTCATCTGTGGCATTGACAATTTCTGTGCCATTGACAATGGAATGCTTCTGTATTTTTGTAGATGTGAAGTAAAAATATTTGATACAAAAATTTATAAATCTTTGATTTTTGAGCATGTTTTTAATCTATTGGTCAAGTTGGATATCAAAATCCAAAACTAAATTGTGTTCTTTATAAATTGTATCATTTTAGAAAGTTATTAATATCTCAATCCTCCATATTCAACTATTGATATTAGTGAATTTTTGAACTTTTTAATTGGAAAATTCAACAATGAGGCACTTGATATTATTTATCCACAAGCTAAATTCAATTTACCTGCAAAGTTTTTTGGGCTTTTAGTTTCTGGATCTAGTGCTAGAGTCTTGTAGAAAATTTCCAACTTAGGAATATTAATGTTCTTTAGTCTTAGTTAGCTTTTTCCTTTAAGCACTAAAACAAACACAAACAAAAAATTAGATATAAAGAACTTATTGATATACTCTCTTTTGGTAAACTATTTAATAGTAATTATATGTATATACACACAAGGGAGATAATATTTCCACCCAATACTCTGTTGTATTAACTACACCCTTGTAGATGTTGTTGTGGTTTTGTGACATGTGTAAAGGAAATTTTGTTTTGATTAGCACCCCAATGGATTGGCTCTTTGTCTTTGCCTCTTACAATTGAAGGCATTCATTAGCATTGACACCTTAAGCACATGATGAAGTCTCATAAAAGAGATGGCAATGTGTGCAAGCTACTTATTGCATTCCAACAACAACTTTACTTAGACATTCTGGAAGAAAATTGTGTGATGTGTAAAGATCAATTTGGACCATTTTGTGATCTCTCACTTCACACTATCTCCAAAAATTAAGACTTTTAAAAAATAGTTTTTTTTTTTTTTTTTTTTTTTTTTTTTCTATCTAACTAGGAATCTTTGTAAGAGTTTCGTATGGTGACTTTTAAAAATGGACTTCTAAATAAAAAGATCGCTAGAACTACTCAACCATGGATTTGATTGATTGTTTGATTAGCCCTTTCTTGTAAGAGTAGGCCACAGTCAAACTGACACCACCACACATACAAACCCATGATGAATGTTATCAATTCTAACAAACCAGTTGAAATTTGATTGTCCCAACTGATCAAATGGTGCACAGAGCATGCGCCGTGAAGCAATAGAAATGGCACAGAAATTGCACACCAAATCCAACCCAACTCCATCCCTCCCACTGTAGTTCTGATTCTGACCCACATCAAAGTCAACAACAAGCCTGAATTGCATTAAATGATCCGCATATAAATGATGTAGGTGCAGGAAGTTGCAGTTTTCAACACTGTCTCTTACATCCCATGCCATCTTTGTCAACCCCCTTGCTCTCTCTAGTCACACAGATACAGGTTGGCCTATGATCAGCCACAGCTACTGACTGATTTCCACATCCCACAGGCTTCCATAGACTGGACAAGTTGACAACGGTGCAGTAAGATGCAACACAAAAGTATAACATGTTTAATATTCTTAATAGAAAACTTACTAGATCGTCATTGGTGTGATGTTTCAGGAAGCGGTGCGCGTATCGCAGATCGAAGTCATCGCTGATCGATATGATAAGCATCGCAGTACAAGTGCAAACCTAGAGGCTCCAGAAGTCCAATACTGCTGGGTCAACGTCCTAGATTGAAAATCTTTACAGACCTTGCAAGCGGCTTTCGATTGAGGTGCTACAAGAGGAGAGTGGAGTGCCAGAGATGAGAATCTGGCTGGAAATGGTGCTGAGTGGCAGCCTGCGCCCAGATCGAGGAATCTCTACTCCCGAATGCCGATTGGCTGCTCCGGTCGATCATTCCTGGCAAGTCTCGCGCTCGCTGCCGCCAGAACCGCCGAGCTTATCAGAAAGGGGTTGGAAAGTTTGCGCACATGTTCTGACAGGGGACAAAAACCCAGTCAATCAGTCGTTGGCCTACTCCAGCAACTGGGTATAAAACACTTCACCTGTGCTGTGGTTTATCAGTACCTGCCACTTAATGATTCATGTCCTTCGTTTTGAGCTTCTGCATTCGATGATCCTGGTTGATGCAGATGTAAATGTTTTCGTCTGCACTTGGAGTTTTCGGCTAGAGGCTGGTTTGTGCGAGTGCCAAATCTGCTGGTCAATTTTCTTTTTTGCTGCGTTGGCTCTCAACCAAAATACAACTGACTTGGTTGAATGGGGACTTGTCAAGCCCCGAGCTCGAATAAATTATAAAGGTTGCGAAAGATTTGGAGTATGCTTGCGTGACTAGACCTGTGTGGGTTTGATCTGAGGGATTGACACACAGCGATTGACTGAAGTGTGAGAAGTCGAAGGCATTTGGGTGTGAATAATGGCAGAGCAAAGACTTAGGGGAGGGGCGTGGGGTGTGGTTTTATTGCTAGTGAGGTTGATGAGCTTGCTCCATGGAACGAAAGCATTGAGAGTAGGATTTTACAACAACATCTGCCCTGGCACTGAAACGATTGTCAGGCAAGTAGTGGAGAATAGGTTCAGTAGGGACCAGTCCATTACGCCCGCTCTTCTACGGCTCTTCTTCCACGACTGCTTTGTCACGGTGCTTGCCCAAACCAAAGGTTTTTTTGATATTCCATATATGCTAATACGAGACGATGTTAAGATTAAAGTCAATCGACTTGTCTGTTATCGTATCGTTCATCACCACGTTTTGTTATCTACAAGCCACTTCTAGCAGGATCTGAACAACAAATGTTGCACCAAAAACAACGTTCTAATTGTGCTAATTATGGCTTCTACGTTGGCAGGGGTGCGATGCTTCGTTGTTGATAAACAGCACACCCACTAATTCAGCAGAGAAAGACGCAGGGGCGAACCTGACTGTCCGCGGTTTCGATCTCATTGACACCGCCAAAGCTGCCGTGGAGAGGGTCTGCCCTGGCATGGTGTCTTGCGCGGACATCATCGCATTGGCAACCAGAGACGCCGTCAGGCTGGTAAGAACTACACTAACGCGCATGATTGTTTATATACGACATTATCTTGGTTCTAATTGCCACACGCGGTAAACTCATTGATGTAGAGAAGCATCACTCAGAATTGGCAACTCTCTGGAACAGCCAATCATAAAATAAAAAATTTAAAAACAATTCGCTTACTATTTGGGACAAAATGTGCATGAATTGTGGCCATTGCAGTCTGGAGGACCGAATTTCGCAATGCCGACTGGTCGTAGAGATGGGCGCGTCTCCAGAGCTGACAATGTGAACTTGCCAGGCCCAACCGTGAGCGTGGCGGATGCCACCAGGATTTTTAATGCCCAAGGTTTGACAAGGAACGACATGGTCACCCTTCTCGGTAAATTAAACACGAATACCATAATACCAACTCCCAGCTCCATTTAAACGAGAGTTGGTTTCAGTTTTTGTCCAAATCCGGATTCGAGAGACAAATATTAACAGTCGAATTTCATGGGCTATTCTGTCGCAGGAGCTCACTCTGTCGGCATCACACACTGCAGCTTCTTCCATGAACGGCTCTGGAACTTCGAGGGAACTGGCAGTGCTGACCCATCCATGGACCCCAACCTCGTGATGCGTCTCAAGGCGATCTGTCCGCAACAAGGAGTTGGACTGGGGAGTCCCGTGAACCTTGACCAAGCCACGCCCAACATCATGGACAATACGTTCTACAACCAGTTGATCGCAAGGAAGGGCATCTTGCAGCTGGACCAACGAGTGGCCACCGACAGGACCACTACAGCCCGAGTCAATGTCCTCGCATCACCCCGGTCTACTTTCACAGCCGCTTTTGCGGCCTCACTCATCAGGCTCGGCAATGTGAGGGTGATTGAAGGAAGCGGTGGAGAAATCCGCAAGATTTGCAGCAGAATTAACTAGTCTAGTTACATCACTGAAATTGATAGTTTAACATATGATTGTAGGAAATGGTGCTAGCGAAATGGACCTTTGCTATCTGAAAAATCTAAATAGTTTGATACCGAAGTTTTCCATTCAATTCTTAATCAAAACATTGATGGATAAGCATGGCAATCACTAGTCCAGGAATACACAAATAAGAGTGGTTGGAGACATATAGAAGCAAATGTTCATTTTCATCTTGGTTGCAATCTGATAAACAGATTTGACGCTTTTAATATTGAACCATATCGTTTTTATTCGTCCCTTTTTATGTTACGTCTGCTCACAGATTGAGCGAGGTCGTTGTTTTGTAGATCCCCTATCATTTACATCACAATCGACAAGGGCATCACTGACAGTCTGCTTAGTCTGAGACGAACTTTGTGTTGCATACCACCAACGGCCAGAGCAACCAATGAGGGTGTCAAGCGCGAATAGTATTCGGTAACCGGCAGTTGCGACGCACCTCGCCCTTGTTTCCAGTCATCACCTTAATCGACCCCATCTTGAGCACAGATTGGGCAAAGTCCTTGAAGAAAACGCGTTCATCATTTGCATAAATTTCCACAAGCTGGTTGCTCTGGCCGTTGGTGGTATGCAACACGGCGTCTGAGTTGAGCAGCCCCTTCGCAGCTTGCAGATTCTTGTAATACTGGTTGTCGAAATGGACTGGAGTGAAGTGGTCTAGATTGACTGTAGTGTTCCCGTCTCCATTCGACGGACACAGAGTCTGCAGCTTCGCAAGGTAACTGCTCTCCAGAAATGGATCTGAGCCTGGAGACTGCGAACCACTAGCTTGGTTTCCGAGACGATTCTGGAAGCTAGTACACCTTGCCTTGCCAAACGAATGCGAACCTGGAAAATATATACCAAGTCGAAGTCAGCAGAAGCCTTCACTTTTTAGAACCCAATACTGTTTGTTCCTGAATTGAATGATATGATCACCAGATTTTTCATTTCCTGATAAAACTCACCCTTCTGTCTATCGTGTCGACTCATTTGGAAATCAAGTGTTAGTCGGAGTACCTGAGAGTGCAACGACGTCTTTTTCATTGAGCCCAACAGCGTTGAAACTAGCAACAAGCTGAGTAACGGTGAAGGTCGGCTGGGGGATGGAATTTTCCGCATCGGTCTTGCTGGCTGTCAGACTGTCTCTCCGGCCAAGCTGTACTTCCCAATACGGGCCACCACTCTGGTCAACACCCACACAAATACACACATCAACTATTTTCAACTAATATTGCAGATCTTGTGAGCGTACCATTATTAGGCTTCCAATTCGTTGTGAATCTTCATTATCCGGCGAGTATCGTGGCTAGATAGGATACAGAGACAGCTTGCTAAGTTGACCCCGAAGTCAACCAGGTCATGGTTGACTTTGACACTATCTTTCTCAACCACTCAACAGCCAACTACTAGCATGCACAGATTGACTTGTGTAACTGGAGTCTGAATTCTTCATCATTATCCATTAATTCATCCTCCCACCAACGAGTTTCATGTTCGAGGCTGGGTAACACTGATAGGTTCCCCAGTCATTGATCCATACTGTAAAACTGTTGTGACAATGTCTGAGAACTAAATGAGCTGACAGCGAAGTTAGCTACCCACCAAGGCAACGGAGTCCCGGGCTGCAATGGTCAATATGTCAGCACAGGAGACTGTGTCGGGACACAAAGCCTCCACATCTTGCTTGATATCGTCGATCAATTCGAACCCTCTCGCCGAGTTCAAGTTCGGGGCGGCACTTTTCTCCCCTACGAAGCCTGGTCTGTCGTCGAGCAAGATGGATCCATCACACCCCTGCCGAGAAAATGTTCGAATAGGTAGCCATCGTTAAATCAATGAGTCGTTGACCTCTTGATTAACCATGCAGCAATGCGTGTAATATGACAAACATGCCTAGCGTAACATCATTAATTATAGACAAGAATGGGCCTGTTTACGTTGACAAAGCAATCATGGAAGTGGAGTCGCAGAACGGAAGCTGGCAATCGCTGGTCACGCCGCCTTCCGGCCTCCACCTTGCTAGACACCACTTTCTGCAGATGCGGGCATTTGTTGTCGTAGAAGGAGGGGGTGAGGTGGGAGTCATCCCAAGTAGCAGCTACCGAAAGAATTTTTCCACCAACACATGTCACCAGTGTAAGAGCCATCCAAACGGCGCACTGTGGACTATGAGACTTGTAAATAGCCATATCACTGCTACTAAACAATCTCCAGAGGTGAATGATCAATTCTCTGGTGAGTTCACTATCAGAAAGTTGCGTGTTGAGACTTTGGCAACTCGAGCTCTTATAAGCTCATGGAGGTTCTACCAATCGTGCCTGATTCTCGAGCTCGAGGTGATCTTCCTCATGGTGCGGTCGATTTTTCAGGTCAATGGTGGTGCATGATGGAGGTGTGCGAATTCCTGTAGCTTGAAGAAGAAGTCTGCGGTTCAAGATCAGTCTACTTCGCTGATTTCCTTCACAACCACCGGATCGATATTGCATTATGTGAGTACACCACATGCCGGTAAATTTGACCAGTATGTCATTCTACTCAATTCCACGGCGCAGTTCTTGCCTGTCCTGGTTGTCCTTGCAAATCACATGGTAGAGTAAGGGATCATATGCGTGCGAAGAATTTCTACGCCCTAAAAACCTCTGGTAAGGGATCTAATCCCCATCATATTCACGTACCAAGGTCACTTAAGAGACAGAAATTCCCCGTTTGCAAATGGCCCCCAATTGTTGTATGCACCAGTTGAACCTCAGAAGTAGCACTGATTCTAATTCTAATTAACCGCAGGAATCGATTGAAACAATCGTAATATTATGGTTCCATCCAACCTCACAATCACAAACCTCGACTGGCGCCAAAGGTCCTCGAGTCTCTTTTTCATCACAATCAACTTCAGTAAGAAGTTTCACACAAGATAAGCAAATTTCAGATTTCGGGGATGTGCAGATTCTGTGAGTAAAAAGCATGAGGAGTCTTGGGATAGAAAAGAACCCAAGTACATTTGCGCCCTGCAGTATTTTTGAACACCAAAGGGTAGAGATTGTGTGGAACAAGGACATTCAGCTACGTTGGCAAGACCATTTTTCAATTACCAACGCTGATCTGCACAAGCACAGGTGAAATGTATAATTTTTTACAAACCTTAACATTATCACGCAGGCATCTGTCCCTTTTGCAGTACAATGATCGTGCGGCCACCAGCAAAGACTGCCGACGCTAAAATCAGCGCAGAAGAGATTCATCAGCCTCGAAATTGTAGTGGAGATATTGCTGCGGCCATGGTAACAGCGCAGCCAGCACGAACCTTTGTCTCTACCTATCCTCGACATTTGAGTTTTTTTACAAAAAAATGCTACGTAAGTCGAACTGCAACCTGGTAGAGCAGGGGGGTAGCCTGATAACCTTCCACTACCGCAATTGCCCCACAGCAGCGTTGCTATGCCAGGGAGGTTGAATTCGTCAATGACTTCAGAGGCTGCAGGCCGCCATTGGTCACCCTGAAATATACCACCGACGCCAAATGTTTCATTGTTGCATCATTGACCATTTCACCAAGTCAACTGATGAAAATTCTGTTTGACTGAGCGCTATCGAATGGCAACATTTCATCGATTCATGTTGAAATGAATCAAAGTTATGAAATTCATTTTAGTTTGAGGTCGAAGGGTTTTGGACGGTCAGCAAGGAGGCAAACCGCAGAACAAAGGTATACTGTAGGGAATAATCTGATAGGCGCAAGTTTTGTGACAAGCTGAGAGAGGCCAGTAATGTAGGATACTTCACCCCTACATCTGGGGTATTTTCAGCATAAAGGTCCGGGATTTTCAAGCTTCTTGACTCACCACACAGAAATCCATCACCGCACTTCAGACAGAAGGCACTGTAAAGCAGGCGGTTTTAAGCCAATTCCAATGCAGGAAGCCCTTATATACTGAGAAGTCCACAAGTCACATCACAGATAATTTATGGTACTAGCCATTGTGTACTAAAAAGACTACAATAATAACCAAAAAGATTGAATGATTTGCTTGCTCAATCTTCAGTGATGTTGGCAAACTGGATCCTAACTGCATGGTCGAAAACGTGCTACAAGATGTCATAATCCAACATAACTAAGAAATCGAATGTGTAGATGCTTTCATTCACCTCCACGAATGTCATTTATGCAGCACTTTTCATGAATTGAATGACCTCCAAGAAATTTAGTGCCGTTCTTCAAAAGTCCATTTCAGAATGTGTTTTAAAAGAAAACCAGAAGATCTGCAGTGAGTACCTTTTTGAAAGCCCAATCCAGAATTGCCATGACCAATCTTAAGGATTCGGAGGTGACAAGATCAATGTCGCAGAAAGCACAATCCAAACCACACAAAGTCACCTGTGCTGCATACTATGTCCCCCACCAAATTTAGCAGTCTGCCATCCAAGTGCACTTCTTTCACCTTTAGGTCTTGTTAGCAACATTATGAGCAACGCAATATGAGATGAGAAACCCCAGAATATCGAACACTCAAGCTTCTAAAAACCGGTCATGTAGGTATCATGAGTTGACGTTGTCCACAGTCTTGTCAGACTTGTGCAAAATGGCCACATTGAAAAAGAAGCAAGAAGCAGAGATGAGATGCATAGAAATGAGCCAAGCCCAGACATACAGCCATGCTTTCCAAGCCTGCGGCAGCGAGGCTCTGACAACTCAACATGCTCACAATCTTAAATTTAATCAGTACCATCCGTCACTATATATATATTTTAAATTGTTTGATAAACCTGCATGGCAAACCCTAGCGTAACTAGTCTCCCTCAAAGTTGTTCACAAATTCACAAAGTGATAATAGGTCGAACTACCTAACTGAACCCCTAAATTGGTGAAGTTGAACCCTGCAGCTACTTAAAACTGTTAACTCTTCAATGTTTAGCCCTCAATAAACCAAATTCCAAATTAAAACTATAATTTTCTCGTTGCATAAGAAGTCCTCTCAAGAAAAATCTGTACAACTTGGCATATAACAGAACCCCAATTTTATGCACACGGAACCGTCCTCGATAAGAAGACACCGCCTCAAATCAAGGATCTCTGGCCAGGTGGATTAAAATTGCGCATCTCATCTGCAATAATCATGTTATCGATCCGAAGACTCAGCTTTGTGAAGCTTCATAAGCCTGAACTATAAGCATAGAATCTAAGGAACATTCACCTCTAATGCAAGTTGAATACTTGGCAACTCGATAGTATGGCTTCCAATAACTCCACAATCTCCTCAACAATGTGCTTTTCTATGTAGGAAGTAATAGTGCTAAGAGTACATAACAACTGGGTGATCAACACATCTATGAAGTACTCGCAAGAATTCAAGATCAATGACTAAAAATTAGTAAAAGCTTGAAAGAGAAGCGAGATCTTCATCCATAACTGTAGAGTGGGGGATGTCCAACGTTAAAAGTGACCCGCCTTAAACTTCAGCCTTCAGCCAGGAATCCTCCCTCCAGGATATTCCGCAAGTAAAGCATCTTGCAAAAATTTGGTCCCAGATAATTAATTATGAATACGTTCACGAAGGGGTCAGGTCGGTTGTGAACATGGTGAAACACATGACAATAAAAAGAAAAAAGAAGAATCAAAAATTGAAAATTAAAACATGAGTAGATAGAAACGGTGACGTAATTAGTTTAATCAGGAATACAAAATGAAAAAATATGTAAATAAATAAATAAATAATCATCCCTAAGGAAGAGATTACAAGAATGAAAACATTAAAATAAAATAGATTAAATCTGCGTCCTATTCTTGCCTTCACTTAACAATCTCCAATTGCGACTTTCTAATTTCGATGGGGGCCACAATATGCAACGCTACCTCACAACTTTCTCAAGCAGCCCTAAATTCAACCCACCACTTAGCAGACTCGGCTACAATCTGACAGTTCAAATCATCTCCTCAGCTCATTCGCAAGAGACTGCAAATGCAGTCGTGAGCTGATCAGTATTGATCGTAATTGTACCTGCGGTGAGCAATCTGAGAAGAGTTCAAGCGTCACAGGAGAAGGATGGTGAAAGAAGCTGCCTTCTTGGAGGTTCATCTATGACTGACTGGACCAAGTCGCAAGGTAATCAACTGATCTATGCCTTCCAGTACTCAGCATGGATCCGCGTTCTTTGATATGGATTACCCATAATTCATGGTTAAAGTTCGTGCAATTTATTGTTGTCCAATGAGTTGCTTCATAATAATCATCACAGGTTCTGCATTTTAAAGGAAACCCACATATGCTCAATCTATGGTTTTCCATTTCATGTTACGGTCATAGCCACTGTTCAAACAGCTACATGAGAAGATCAACCCTGATCTTCACGACCATGACAAATTAAAAGATTAAGAAAAGAAGATGGAGAAGAACAGCAGTATAATCCTCACAACCTTCCGGACACAAACCTTTGAGCAAAGTTGCCAGAGTCTTTACACCGCAGTGAGGAGACGCAAGGGTTTCTGGAGCGAGCTGAGACTTGACAAGCCATCACAGTCTCACACGATGCAGCAGCTCACACTTCCATGCTCGGGGTACAAGCTTTGCTGGCCACCAATGGTTGCTGCTGCTGTGTCATTGCTTCAACAGCCACCCCTTGCTCTTCACTCCTGTATTTCCAGCAGAACCCTACAACTCCATTCCACAGCACACAACACAACAGAACACTCTTTCAAAGCAAAACGCCTACAAAGCCCATGTTCCGACACGACTCACATGGGACCCAATTCTCCAACTCAAGGGTAGAGAGACCTACAGTCCTCTGTACTAAACCCTTCCAACCGAGAACACACAATCCTCGTTCAGAGTCTCACTAACAAGCACGAACTGAAGCAACAAAATTCAGCTAAAAAACTACCTTCCATTCTGAGACCAGTACCTAGTTGATGAAACAAGATTCCAAGCCAAAAAAGAAAAAGGGATTTAACAAAAATCACCATCCAGAAAGAGATCTAGAGCAAGAATTCTTCCACTGTAACAAACTGAGCGTTCAAAGCTTGTGAGACTAAGTGTGGGTACAGCACCAGCAGCCCATTCTAGGCACAGAATAAATGGACAGACATTTCGCTCTGCAGCCCACAAACAAACAAACAAACAAACAAAGCTTGGTCACAGAATCCAAAGTCATCCAGTAACTTAGGTGGTGTGCTTACAAAACTGGCATTTTTAACCCTAATTAGGATACTTCCATGGATTACACCGGTAGCGCGTAAGAGTGATATCTTCAGCGAAACCTTGAATATATATATATATATAAAAACGAAGTTTAACAGTTAACCAAGTAACGGTTAGGTAGCCCAATTTATGGGTCTTTATTTGTGCTTAGGAGCGAAGGTCACAAGCTGCAACTTTCAAAGTTGGTGATTGCTTGAAATTAAGAAGTCTTTTATGATTTATTTATTGGTTTTAGATTTTGGAAAATTATCTAAAATGTCATGAAAGGAAACAATGAGAGTAAAGTGGATTGTTTTCTTGTTAGGCATGAATAGTGTTGCTCCTTAGAATTTCCCTTGGGCCATCTAGGAAAATAATTTTTACAAATGTTTAAAAAAATCATGTCAAAATTGCTCAAATATACATGAATATGCATATATATATATATATATATATATATTTATTAAAACTATACACAACATATTTTCTTACATTTGTCAAAAAAAATATAATTAAAATATAACATTTTAAAATAAAAAGTTAAAATAATTGTACAAATATATATTTCTTCCAACAATAAACTTAAACTTATACTTCTAAATAAAATTGATATTATATATTTTAATTTATTTTAAATATTTATTTTAAAATTAATCCTATTTTAAAATTCTTTTTGAAACTATGATATAGTATTTTGATAAGCTTTATCACAAAGTGACTTAATTTACAATCTTATTAAATAAATTTAATAAGATTAATTTTTTACCATATTAATTTAATTTTTGATTACTTTACAAAATCCTGAAAATTAAAGATTAAATTAAGTTATAATTACATAATACACAATAAAAATATCATAGATTTTTTTAGGAGTATATGTAGTTACAATTATAGTCTTATTTATGAATTTCAAAGATATGCAAGATTTTTTTTAAAACTTATGATGCTGATATTTATAATCATTTTCTTATATATATATATATATATATATATATATATGTATATTTTACTACTTTATTAATATACAAACAATAATAAATTGTATCATATTACATATTGCTTTCCAAATTTTAACTTTTAAAACCAATTTTAAATTTTTTAATAAAAATTTCTATTTTTTTTTAAAGTGTATTATTTATTTGAAGGGGTTTATTATATAATAACAAGATATACATATTATAAAATCTCAGATAATTTTATAAAGTTTTTTTTAAATATCAAAATATTAAATAGATTTTTAGGTTCTTATATTTTAAATTTATAAATAAATTCAATCTTGAAAACTTCTAAAAAATATCAATTGAATATTTCTATGGTTCTTTATTAAAAATCTAAGAAAGATATGTTACTTTTTACTTATAAAAAAATATTGACATGAAGCAAAAATAATATATTAATTAAGTTGGAATAAATAAATTATATATATAGCATTAAAGATTAATAGGTTTATCAAAAAATATTAGAAAGCATAATAATTATTATTTATGAAATAACTTTAAGTTTAATAATAGTTTATTATATCTCAAAAGTTTATTATGTGTACTTCTAAGATATCTATGATTTTACATTATTCAAACATGCTATGGTTTTCTTATGCTTGGCTCTAATAAAATATATATATATATATATATATATATATAATGGTCATATAAATAAGACTTTGTAAAAATAAAAATAAAAAATATAATCTAGTAATATGCAAGTAAGTATCAAAGTTCCTAAGTATCAACCATGTGGTCTTTTTCAACTACTTCTTATTTAAAAAATACCATGGTTATTTTTTTAATGTATTTTATTATAGACCTTCTAACTCTTAGAAATAAAACTTAATTTTAATTAGTGATGGTTTTTTTCACCAAAATAATCTATTTTATCTAGTATAACAAACTTATTTATAATGAAGAAACATACAGATTATATACTCTCTACAAAGTGTCATAGTTTATATTACTTGAACAAATTAGTCATGTTCAACTTCTTCAAACTAGACTAAAAGCAAGAAAGGAATTGACAAGTGAAGAAGACTTTCATTCTTACATCTATATATACTATCTACCTAAAAGCTATGTGGCAAGCTTTTAGAGGACTTTCAAAACATATTGACTTTACACAATACATATCTTAACTTACAAAGTAAGTTTTCTACATGGACACCATACAATTAGCCTATTCCACAAGTTACTAATATATATGGCACGTGGTTAACTAGTTGACTAAGTTTCTAACTTATTATCAAGGACATGAATCTCAAAGAAAAAGAACCTCAATATACTCTTGTATCACTGAAAGGAACTAGAAAGTCACTCAAAGATGATATAATATTGAACTAGAATGGCTATTGCCAAAAACAAGAAGACTAGAAAGTCTTGAAACAAGACTAACTACTAGAAAGGCATTGACAAGAGTGAAAAAGGCTTCACTTTTGTCTCCATATATACTCTTAACTAGGAATTATGTGGCGATGTCCTATAGGACCTCTAAAATGTGTTAACTTAGCAAGATACATATCTTAATTTGCATGGCAAGTTTTCTATATGTGTGCCACATAGTTAAGTTGTTCCACAAGCTAAGAATACATGGTTAACTTATTGACCAAGTTTCTAACCTATCAATCAACTACAAACATATGTAAAGTCAAGCAGCATCTCTGAAGCTTTTAAGAAGCTTCTCTAAAAGGTCTTATGAAATTAACCTACTTTTATCTAATTTTACCTATTTCTATCTAATCATATAAGTATTTATTAGAATACCTATATATGTCTATAATATTACTCTCTTTTCTAGAAATAAGTTCCATGAGGAACGATCTTCATATATTGAAGAAATCAAAGATGCGGCAAATTGTATTTGCCACATACTCTAATCTTTATTCTCTTCAAAGATGGTTGATAGGCCCTCTCAGCCATTGATAATATCTCATACCATGGCAAAAAGACCATCCTATTATTTGGTTGTTATTAAGGCCTTTATAACTTCCTTCAAATAAAACATTTAGAACACTATTAGGAATTGTTCATGCCTCTAATAAAATCACCAAACATTGGGAGTTTCTTCTAATGTCATGATACCAAATACATTATATCTTATCATTTATTCATGGAAGGATATGTCGTTCTTGAGGATCTTTATTTTGATTTTGTCGTCTTAAAGGTTATAACAATCGCAATGTCTCGTCTAGTAATTTTGTAAATAAAAACTCTTAAGTTGAATTTGCTAGTTATTGGTTATCCATCTTCTTAACTACACAAAAGCTACAAAGAAGGATAAAAAATAAAATGTTATTTTTCTTTTGTCTTATTTCTTTTAAAGATATGTTATTCTTTAACTTGATTTTGATGGATGTCATTGATAAAAGGCTTCAACTCTCTTTGCTGCATTTGCAAGATTCTTTGATGGCTTCCATATGCGGTCACTAATATCATATCTATGCCAATGAATAAGATATTCCAATTTATTTCAGTACCGCTTTGAATCTAAGACATCTTCTATGCCAAACTCTTGATTATTATCCACTTCTATAAGAAGAGGTGATATTTGTCTTCTTCCCAAATTATTCATTGTCTTATATGACTCAAGAAGAGATGTATGAAATACAAGGTGGATCTTTATAGACTCCGATAGATATAATCGATAAGCAACATGATTGATTTGTTTACAAATAGGAAAAGGTTCAGGCCTACAATAGTCGAACTTGTCACAAGGACGAGTAGTTTTGATATTGCCATAAAATAACCATACCTTATCACCTATGTTGAATTGTGGTTGCTCCTTGCAATAGGCATTTGCATTGGTCTTTTGTTGTTCTTGAGTTTCCTTTAATTATGTCTTCATTCTTGCATGTAGCTCTGAGAAATGATTTATTAAATCTTTTGTTGTAGGATTATCAACTTTTGAAAAGTCAAAAATATCAAGTTGTAGATGATAACCATAATTGGAAAAAAAATGTGTTTATTGAATAGAAGAATATACTAAATTATTGTATGCAAACTCTGCCAATGGTAAAAGAATTGTCCAATCATCTTGATGATAGTTGATGATACACCTCAAATATTGCTCCAAAACTTGATTCACTCTTTCTGTTTGTCCATCAGTTTGAGAATGAAAAGCCAAAGAGAGCTTTATATCCATCTTTAAAATCTTGAATAGGATTCTCCAAGATCTTGATACAAATTGAGTCTCTCTATCCAATAATATCCTTTGGTAATTCATGATAGGGATAGATATTATCAATGAAAAGTTTGGTTGTTTCTTCACCTAAAATAGATTCTTTATATGGTACAAAATATGCCATTTTGGTGAAGGGATCTACAATTACGAATGTAAAGTCATATGAACTTGAACTTGAAAGATCTATAATAAAATCCATAGAAATGAAAGACCATAGTTGTTTTGATATAGGCAATGGTAAGAAAAGTCCATAGGATCAATGATGAAGAGTTCTTGATCTAAAACAAATGTTATATGAGTAGACAAAGTTTGTTACCACTTTCAATATTTGCGGCTACTAAAAATCTTTGGATATAAGTTCTAAAGTCTTATTGTATTTAAAATGTCTTGCTCCTAGAAAGTCATAATGTGGTTGAAGAACACGTAAATGTCCTTCTCTTTTTAGAACATATAGGTGTCTTTCAAAATAGAGTAGGTTATTCTTGAATTCAAACTTTGAAACATCATGAGACTTAGAAGAAAGATTCTTCATATCATGAATAAAAAGATCAGAGGATATACTTAATTGAATTTGTTTGACAAAGGTCGAATCAACATTCAATGTTGATTTCATTGCTCAAAGATGAAAATGCTTTGGCTTCAAGAAGATTGTTCTTTGTTGATTAAAATATACGTTTCTTTCTTTTGGTATAAGATAAGAGCGTCTAGAAAGACTATCTGATAAATCTTATTGTTTTCCATATTAATATATGATCTTGAAATCAAATCTTGATAATGACATATTCCAACGGGCTTAGTGATAATTCAAAACATGCACCAATATGAAATATTTGAGGTTCTTGTGATCTGTATATA